GCCAGCGGGGTGCCAAGCCAGATAAGCGTCCCCCCTCATGCCCAGACCCCGCACCCAACCCCCCCTCACTCCCCTCCCCCTGCCAAAACCCCACATTCCCAGCGTGCTCTGACACCCTACACCAAGTCCTCTCCTGCACCCTCCCTGCCACAAGTCCCCTCCTCTACCCTCCCTCCTAGCCAGACACCCTGCCTTGAGACCCTCTTCTACCCTCCCTCTTGGTCTGGTGTTTTTGTTGTTGTTGTTTTGCTGGACAAATTTTCCCTGGATTGGTGGTGGGTTTTTTTTGTTGTTTTTGCTTGACAAAAAAAATCCTTGGTGTTCCCCATTAAAAAAAATTGTTTGGTGTTCCTCAGTCTTAAAAAGTTTAAGAAACGCCATCTTAAGGACTTTCACATGACTGAGTAAACATTTGATACATATTTTCAGTGTTTCTTTCCAAGGTAGGTTTTGCTATTAGTTCTGAAGTGTAATTTAAGCAAAGGCTTCCCCTATTCCAAGCTGTCTTTTCTTCCTGTCAGTTCCTTCTATGGAGCTGTAATGCTGAGTCTGGACTCCCATGTATATTTCCATAAAGTGCTTTAACACCACTTAGTGTCTTCACTCAAGAATCAGGTAGGAAGAGACGATGAACTAAAAAGGAGTTAAGGCTTTGTTTAACAAAAACATCTTCAATGTGTACCAAATATAGTACATTAAAAAGGCCATACTGGGTCAGACCAAGGGTATGTCTAAACTACATGGCTCCGTCGACGGAGCCACGTAGATGTGTTGTTTTGGCAAAGGGAAATGAAGCGGCGATTTAAATAATCGCCGCTTGATTTAAATTTACATGGTTGCTGCGCTGAGCCGACAACTAGCTGATCAGCTGTTTGTCCGCTCAGTGCGCTAGTCGGCAGCCCCGTTATTCCTCGTGGGATGAGGTTTACCGGGGCTGCCGACAAAGGGCTTTGATGTCAGCAGGGGAGCATCCAGACTAGCGCGCTGAGTGGACATACAGCTGATCAGCTGTTTGTTGGCTCAGCGCGGCAGCCATGTAAATTTAAATGAAGCCGCGATTATTTAAATCGCTGCTTCATTTCCCTTTGCCTATAACCCTAATCTACATGGCTCCGTCGACGGAGCCATGTAGTTTAGACACAGCCCAACAGAACATCCAGCCCAGAGACATAGGGGTCGTGATGGTATCCAGCCAAATGTGCACAACCAGTTCAGTGCAGTGGCTAAGAATGAAAATGTGATCAATGTATGAATAAACAGGAATATGAAGTAGAAATAGCGATATATTACTATTATATACTGCATTTGTTCATAGAGTCCTTCTAACCTTAAAATTTGTTATGGCTTGAATTTATCTATGAGCAGCTCTAAGATGTGTATCAACTGCAAGGGCACAATCTTACGTGCCCTTGGTATGGGGATAGGGGTTTTCAGTTGATACAATTGGAGATTAATTTCCAAAATGTTGTTAGTGAAATGAATTAAAGACTTAAATTTGAGTATACACTGTAGTTCTAGGTTGAAGCTCTAAAGACACTGAATTCAAGTAGGATGCTAACCATTGTAGTTGCCCACAGGAAATCAGCAGCTTGCACTGCATCAACTTGACAAAACAGAGCCTTTGTAATGGAGAATGGAATGTGCTTGTTACCTTGAAAAATGACATGTTGACTTCAAAAGTTCAAAGTTTATTGTTTTTGGTCTTTGTATGAATTTAATAAAAGTCGTATTCTGATATTTACAATAGTGTATATTTCTAATCAAATCATTCTCTTTTAGCACTTATCTAAAGACTCATTTCTTTTAGAAGCACACCTCTTTATGTTTTGATAGGAAGAATATCAAAACACAGGGAGTCAAAAATATGGCCATATAAGCAGCTAGCTATTAAATTAAATTAAATAGTTTTTAAAAGACAACCACAATTTTAAAGTAAAATGACTCCCATTTGAAGCAGTCTTTTTACAGATACAGATTGAATCTCCCAAATCCAGAACTCTCTGGTATGGAAACATATGTGGTCCAGCAGGGTCACAGATGTTGTTGGATCAAAGAGCCCTGGAGGTCGGAAATGGGAGCCAGCATGGACTCCCATGGGGGTTGGGGAGCCCTGGCCTTGGCTGGGAACTCCCAGCTTCAGTGGGGCTGGTAGCAGCCAAGCGGCCCGGGCGAAATCCTGGGGAACCCCTGAGAGGCCAGCGGCAACTAGGTGGTCCTGGCTGGGGAATCCCTGGTAGCCATAGGGCCAGAGGTGGCTTGGCAGCCCTGGCCATGGCCAAAGAAACCCTGGCAGCAGTGGAGCAGGCAGCAGGCCAGGAAGCCCCAACCAGGCCAGCATTAGCAGCCCAAGCCTTCAGAGCCCCAGAGCTAGAAGAGAAGCCCGGGAGATTGAGCAGTGGCCAGCAGAGGAGCATTGACACCTCACAGTTTGACAAACTCCCTGTTTCAGGTAGGGATGTTAAATTTTTTGTAATCAACTAATCACCCTGACATCTGTTGGGAGACCAATACAGCAGTAAACAGACAATACAGGAAGTTTGGGGAAAATGTTGGGGATAAATTCTTTGTACAAGTGCTGCAGGAAACGACCAGGGGCTGTGCGTAGCTTGACGTGCTGCTCACAAACAGGAGGGAACAAGTAGGGGAAGTAGAGGTGGGTGACAACTTGGGAAGCAGTGATCATGAGATGGTAGATTTCAGGATCCTGACCAAAGGAAGAAAGGAGAATAGCAAAATACACACCCTGGACTTCAGAAAAGCAGACTTTGACTCCCTCAGAGAACTGATGGGCAGGATTTGCTGGGATGCTTTCATGAAGGGGAAAGGAGTCCAGGAGAGCTGGCAGTATTTTAAAGAAACCTTATTAAAGGCACAGGAAGAAACCATCCGGAAGTGCAATAAGAAAAGCTAATATGGTAGGTGACCAGATTGGCTTACTGGGGACATCTATGGTGAGCTTAAACACAAAAAGGAAGCTTACCAGAAGTGGAAACTTGGACAGATGACAAGGGAGGAGTATTAATATATTGCTCGAGAATGCAAGGGAGTTATGAGGAAGGCAAAAGCGCAATTGGAATTGTAGCTACCAAGGGATGTGAAGGATAACAAGAAAGGTTTCTACAGGCATGTTAGCAATAAGAGGGTGATCAGAGAGGGTGTGGCCCTTACCGGATGAGGGAGGTAACCTAGTGACAGATGATGTGGGAAAAGCTGAAGTACTCAATGCTATCTTTGCCTGCGTCTTCACGGACAAGGTCAGCTCCCAGACAAATGCACTAGGCAACGCAGTAGGGGAAGGAGGTGGACAGCCCTTGGTGGGGAAGGAACAAGTTAGGAACTATTTAGAAAAGCTAAACGTACACAAATCCATGGGCCCGGATTTAATGCATCCGAGGGTACTGAGGGAGTTGGCAAATGTCATTGCAGAGCCTTTGGCCATTATCTTTGAAAAGTTGTGGCGCTCGGGAGAGATCCCGGATGATTGGAAAAAGGCAAATGTAGCACCCATCTTTAAAAAAGGGAAGAAGAACAATCCAGAGAATTACAGACCGGTCAGCTTTATCTCAGTCCCTGAAAAAATCATGGACCAGGTCTTCATGGAATCCACTTTGAAGCACTTGGAGGAGAGGAAAGTGATTATGAATAGTCAACATAGATCCACCAAGGGCAAGTCATACCTGACCAACCTGATTGTCTTCTGTGTCTTCTATGATGAGTTAACTGGCTCTGCAGATATGGGGGAAGCAGTGGACATGCTATATCTTGACTTTAGCAAAACTTTTGATACGGTCTCCCACAATATTCTTGCTAGCAAGTTAAAAATTGTATGGCTTGGATTAATGGACTGTAAGGTACATAGAAAGCTGGCTAGTTTGTTGGGCACAACAGGTAATGATCAATGGCTAGATGTCTAGTTGGCAGCCAGTATCAAACAGAGTGCCCGGGGTTGGTGCTGGGGCCGGTTTTGTTCAGCATCTTCTTTAATGATCTGCATGATGGGTTGGATTGCACCCTCAGCAATTTCATGGCTAATACTAAGTTGGGGGAGGGGTAGCTAGGCTGGAGTGTAAGGAAAGGGTCCAGAGTGACCTAGATAAATTGGAGGATTGGGCCGTACGACATCTGATGAGGTTCAACAAGGACAAGTCAGGCTGGGAACTGAATGGCTAAGTAGCAGTTCTGTAGAAAAGGACCTGGGGGTTACAGTGGATGAGAAGTTGGATATGAGTCAACAGTGTGTCCTTGTAGCCAAGAAGGTTCATGGCATGTTAGGGTGCATCAGAGTGGCATTGCCAGCCGATCCAGAGAAGTGATTATTCCCCTGTATTCGGCTCTGGTGAGGCCACATCTGGAATATTGTGTCCAGTTCTGGGCTCCCCACTATAGAAAGGATGTGGACGCATTAGAGAGGGTCCAGAGGAGGGCGACCAAAATGATTAGGGGGCTGGAATGCATGACCTATGAGGAGAGACTGAGGGATTTATTTAGTCTGCAGAAGAGAAGAATGGGGAGGGGGGGGGAGATTTGATAGCAGCCTTTAACTTCCTGAAGGGAGGTTCCAAAGAGGATGGAGAAAGGCTGTTCACAGTAGTGACGGTTGGCAGAACAAGGAGCAATGGTCTCAAGATACAGTGGGAGAGGTATAGGTTGGATATTAGGAAAAACTAT